TGTACAGGGACGTGCAGCAGTACCCAGCGCCTGGGTCAGAACAGGGGAGTGAACCCTCAAAAATTAACCAGCTGTAGGAAATAAAAAAAAAACCCCACATCCAAACCAGTGTTTATTCAGCAGGGTTTTAGTGAGGAAAATTGCCAGCTACTGCTGAATTAAGTATTGCTAGCAGCTAATTGAAATGTTCTGTTTTAATTTGTCTGATTTCTTTCCAGTGGGTGATGTTATTTATGTAGTTTGTATATAGCTAACGACAGACTATACAGAAAATGTAACGATTGCTTCCAATGATCAGTAATATCTGAGAGCACAGACACAAACGAGGTATATAGGAAGACATGCCATCCTTCACAGCTTAATATTAAATAGTAAAACATCTATCAAAGAACACTACCTCATTATCATCTAAAGCTATTTTTGTTTTTATTTTTTTAATCAAGGATTTTTGTGGGGGGTTTTTCTGGTGGAGAGGGATTTTGCTTTAAAACAAATACAGTTACTATATACTACTATTGCGGAAAACTACATTTTTGTGTCCTTTCAGCCACATTGTTTCAAGGCCACCCAGTTCCCCTAGGAGGCTATAAACAGGAGAAGGATTTAAATCCTATTTTCTTTGCTGAGGATTTGGCAAGAACCCATATAGTAGGAAGCTGAGCACGGACAAAACCGAGTGAAAGGTGTCCTTTAATTCCCCGTCCGCTGGTAGAACAAAGCCTGTGCCCAGCGGGGTCCCAGCTGGCCGCACCCAGGCCGGCTCGGCGGCTTCATTTCAATTGCTGAATTCGGTGTATTTTTAGTTAACCATGTTGAAATTAATTAATTAGCCCCTAGGAGTTAGTGCCCGTAAACGTCACCCAAAGCAGAGAAGTGTGAATACGTTGAGGCTGTTAATTCACCCAAAAATGGCAGCTAGTAATCCAGGCAGAGGAAATTCAGTCCCTCCGTCGGGATGACTGGCAGCTCTGCCGCACTATCGGGTTACTGCCTTGGTGACAACAAACCACATATCGATTTAACTTCTTAGCGATGCTTAAAAGAGCATCTTTTTATTTCGGTGAGGTAGCATTTAAAGTTGCCGTTAGGGAAAAAAAAAATTGCCGTGGGCAAACAAGCATTGGCGTTTGGATAAGGAAGAACGTAACCGGTCTGATACCTAGAAAACCTAGTAAATGTAGAGAAAAAAATGCTGCAGCTGTAACTTCATTAGAATGGCAGAATCTATTATAATTAACTGCAACTTTCTAAATAGGAGCTAATTTACTTACGTGAGCCAAAATTCTGTTAACTCGCAGCGTATTGTAAGATACAGAGTAAGTTCTTGGGTTTGTGTTCTGGTTTTAAGTACAGAATAAATGCGCTATAATGAGCGGTTGACAAGATGTTAATTCAAAAATCTCTCGCCTAAATGCAATAAGATAGTCCATGACTGATGCAAGTTGACAATGGGAGGTGAAAAGTGTACTGTATAGCCTGCAAAGAGAAAAGTTAATGGCAATGCAGGGAAGAGGAGGTATTTCACTTTCATGCTTCATACTGTATATTTTTTTCTGTTGTATTTGTCAACCAAAATGTCTTATATCTCTCTAAATGGTGTCTTTCTCTATATGTATAAATGAACAGATGCAGATAGAGCTCAAAAGCATGGCATGGATGAATTTATCTCTTCCAATCCCTGTAACTTTGACCACGCTTCACTCTTTGAGATGGTTCAGCGCCTCACTTTGGACCACAGACTTAATGATTCCTATTCTTGTCTGGCAAGTATATTCTTTGGTCTCTAGTGATATAAACATCAAGCAGCAAAGTCAAAGCTAGTGTGAGTGGGGGCTAATCCCCCTGTTGCTGGAAGATTCCCTTCTTTTTACACCAGGTTTGAATTTGGCCCAGAGGTGTTTTCTTTTGAGAGGCTACCTGCAGTGAACTGACTGCTGTTCTTCGCCAGTTGCACTGTCTTTATCATTTCTGTTTGCAATGCTTAAAGTGTTCTTCCTGCAAAGACAAACTCCAGTGTGGGGATGTGAAGTGGTGAGCAGTGGTTTGCAGCCTCCTGCACTGCCTTCCAGGGTCTTCTGGAGGAAAGGACAGGGGAAGGATGATGGTCAGGTACCACCTCCCTTGTCATGGAGTCCCACCAGGAGTAACTGTGGCCCAGATTTGTGTCTCTTTATGAGCAAGGATCCCAAGCAGGTAACACATGGGACTAGGTGGATAACTGCAGTGCTGCTGCAGTCTGTCCATGCTCGTGGAGTCTGTCGCATGCCCACCCTGATGATTCTCATGAGCACAGGTTGCAGCTCTCAGCCCACTGCTGTGTAATGTGGTCTGTAGGACAGTGGCACTGAGATGCTCCAGGACAGCTTGTAGCCTTTGGCTGGGGTGCAGTGCTTGGGGGCTCTTAGGTACTGTGAGGGTTTAAGCGTCAAATAACCTTTAGCAATGCTACTTGAACAATTAGATTTTAGCAGCTTCAGTGAGGAGGATGAAGAGGCTCCTAGTTTTTGAGAAAACAACAAGATGAAGCCTTCCTAGAGAGGCTTGAAAAGGAGGTCCTGTCCTGAGACGTGGTGAGGGACAGGTCAGGACCTGCCGCCCTCCTAGTGCTGCACAGAAACCTCCACAGTGGGGTGTCATCGTGGGCTTCTTCAGCAGAAGGACCACCCTGTGCCGATGGCCTTTGTCTTTTGTCAGCTGTGCAGTCCCTGGAGCAGGGCCTCTAGAGTAGCTTAAAAGCAGCAACCTGGCAACACAGCTGCACAGTTGGCAGTGAGGCTGTCTGTCTCAAATCCTGTCCTCTATGTCCCCAACCACCATGGTGCTCCTCTCAACTGCTCTGCTCCTTGCACCACACGCAAGGGCTGATCTCCTCAGAAGGGCTAAGGTCCAATAAATGCCATTAGTGGTGAGGAGTTGTCACCTTCCTGCTAGGAGGCAGGGCTGGGAGGAACTGCTGTGGACGTCCCCTGAGGTAAGGATGGGGTGGGAGAAGGCTGCAGCGTGCACTTTACTCGCGGATACCCGAGTGGTACCGGTAGGCTTGGTGGGAGCATTGTCAGACCTGCAGCAGGTTTCTCACCAGTTCCATCGAGGTCTTTGCTCCGGCAGGCAGTGAATTTGGCATGCGGCTTCTGCTCCCCTCGCATGGCTGACCTTAGGAAGACCATCCCCATCCATGCATGTCTGACAGGTTGGCTTGCAGCTGGTTTGTCTCTGTGCAGTCTTCGGCCTGGCGAGAGAGCTGTGGCCGTTGAATTAAATTCGTGGAGAGGTGCAAGGCTATCACTGAAAATTATTAACAATGTTTCTCTTCAAGAAACCCACCAGCCACACTTCTGCTTGTGATTGAGATGTTTAGGCCCTTGCTAGAAGCTACTGGAGTGGTGGAATTTCCCTCAGCACCATGACTTGTGCCTCTTCGGAGCAGAGCATCACCAATTAACCATCTTCTTTCAAAGCACCCCTTGCAGAGTGTTACAAAGAAGAGAATATTGGGCTGTGTTCACCTGCGCTTGAATTACACATGCTTGTTTTAATATGGTTTTGCCCTGATTATGGCGTTAAAGAAACCAGACTGACCTCAGAAATTGAGTTCAACTGGAAAGAGCTCACGGTGCTCTTGATATGTCTGTGGGACGTTGGTGATACCACGGCACTCGCTTGCCCAGAGGAGCTGTGAGCCTGTGGTAAGCCTGCTCTGTCCGCTCTTTGTGCCGCTGGGCAGTTGTTGTTCTCCCTACAGGACATTCCCATGCAAGGTCCCGCAGAGTTTTGCCTCGTCACGCCTCTCCTTGTTTTCAAACACGGACGTGGAAGTGCCAGGGAAGACTTACCCAGACACAGTGGCTTACCCTGACACAGAGGATAGCTCGGCGTCACCTCCTTTCCGTGGAACCAGGTTAAACAGCGTTCTTGCGAGCCCACTCGCTGGCTGAGCCAGGCATCCCTATGAAAACAAACAGGCTGGCTGACTCATCTCAGCTATGGCAGAAGTGATGTTTGCTGGCAGAGAGCACTGTGCTGGGGAAGGGGAAGAGCACTATCTGCAGAGCTTGCTGGGGGCTCCTGCCCGTCATCCACAAACTGGTAGCACAGTTGCTCTCATGGGTCTTCCTGGACTTTTGAGAAGAGTGTGCAGCTCTTCCAGCTTAGCATGGACCCCCCACACACCTGAGTCTTCATTTCTTTCTGCTTGGACATGTGTGTTGATTCTGAGACTGCCCTTCAGCTCTTCCTAAGACTTCCCAACCCACTGCTGGCATCTGGCTCATGCAGCTGCCTCCTTGCTGCAGCTGTATTTCCCATGGTCATGGAATCATAGAATGATTTGGGTTAGAAGGGACCTTAAAGATCATCTAGGTCCAACACCCAGAATTCATGGGATTTGTGTAATAGATCATGGCATGTACCAAGGAAAGGCAGTCTTCCAGAGCACCCAGCCTAGCCGAAATGATGGGAAGGGGTCAGGTTAAGAAGTCCATGAAGCAAGCCACCAAGATGAAATTCTTTCAGTTTCCCTGTGGTAAATAGGAAAATTCAGCTACTCAAAAGTGGAAGTTTTTCCTCAAAAATTCCAGTTTCTGGCAAAGCTGCATTTACTATCAGAAGAATTGCCAGTGTTTCTCCGACCCTGACCAAGCCTGGCTTCACCCAGCTCCAAAGCTCCCATCGCACTCCCTGCTGGTGCTTAGGACATGTGTCCCCTGATCAGTGCGGTTCAATTGAACACAGTCAGTCAAGCTCTCTGGGCTCCGTGGCCTGCCTCCATTGTCCCCCCCAGGTTTCCTCATGCCATCAAAGACCATCTGGAGACCACACTGAGCTACACCTAGCTTCTCTGGGGAGAGACACCCGGAGTGTTATCACTATCAGCTGCGTTTGCCAGACTGGCTGGTTGTCAGCTGGTTGTGCCAGGCAAATCTTAATCAAGAGCCAGGATCTGCCTGGAGACGTAGGATTTGTCTGAGTACCACCTTTCATCAAACCTTAGATTTTTTTCTGGGGCTGTGTGGAGCAGCAGTTACTGCTCGTTTGGAGCCCCATTCAGCAGCAGGTTTTCTGATTTCCTACCTCTCCCATGCAAAAGAAGACCACCTGGTGCTCGTGGGCTCTGGATCTCTCCACTTGTAGTCTGCTTGTCTGTGCTGTCTCATGAGGTCTGAGGCTCATCACTGAACCTCTGAGCTTCTGCTCGCACTTCCCCTCATTGAGCTGTGGCAGCAATCCTGAGTGTTTGGTCCCATCCTTTCCATCCTCCTGAGGACCAGCAGTTCTTACCCCAGTGCAGAGGAGCGATGTGGGGCGCTCCGGATCACTGGGTCCAGCCTCCTGCTTCCTTCACCCCGAACTCTGACCTTGATATTGGCTCCAGAAAAATTGGTGTCAGCCTTCCCACTGATGTCAATAAGGCCAAGATTTCACCCTGTAGGGAGGACTGAGTCCTTCTTATGTATTAAATGAATATAACAATTTCAGCTGTGTTTCTACCCCTGTAACCAAATGCACATCTTTCTGTCGCAGAGCGATCATGGCATCTCTATATTTTCACTGTACCTCATAGCCAAAGACTTGTGGGAAGAGAGTCAAGGTGAAGAGATGGTCCAAGGATGTAACAAACAAGCGACATAAAGAAATCCAGAACTGAGCATAATACCACCAGGGAAAAAAAGCACAGAAAAATACCGTTAAAAGCAGCGAAGGCAAATATACCCCTCCCAAAAAATAGCCTTCCAGAGTGCCGTCCCATCTGCATTGTTCTGTGTCTTCATTTTGAAATGTGCACTTCTAGTGATCCCAGCACTGTAGCTACTCCCTATATCTATCATTTCCCCCTCATTATTTTAATTCTTTTCTCAATCTGTTTTGGAGTTGGCCCAATAAGGATGAGCAAATCCTTCTCTATGTCTTTGAGCTCTTAATTGATATTTCTTCAACTCTTTTCAAAGCAGCTATTTTGGCATCTAGAAAAGATTTGGTGTCATCTGAGTGGTAGAAAATATATTTTAATCTTTCACAGCAGTGTTGTTTCTAAGATGTAGCATTTGGGGTAACAGATGGGGTGGCAAAGAAGTTGCCTATAGGGGCAGTGCTCTGCCTCAACTACTCTCCCGCCCGCTGCAGGAACTTTTCAATTAAACGATGAAAGATTTTGCAGCTTGATGCATTCCAGAGCTGCGTCTTAGCAATTGTTTAGCACCCAAATTTCCATGTAAATATTGACGGTTTTGCATCATTTTGAAAAGCAATCTACAAGAATATTCTTGTTCTTGCTAGCGCCTTCCCCGAAGGCAGAGGCGCGCTCTGCTTCAGCTATCCCGGGACGTTCACCGGAGCAGTCCCCTCACGGGGAAGGGCATTGGCCTCGGAAGCCTGGACGTTGCACCACAAGCTGTGTGTCATCAGGCCCTCAGGACTGACAGACAGAAATAGTCTGAGCTTTCTGGATGCGTAAAGAAAACCTGCTCGGGAGCAGAGCTTCCCATTGCTTCGATGCCGAGGAGGCGGGCGATGGCAGAGCGCGCGGTCAGCGGCACGCAATAAGGACGATGGGAAACGTCCCTTTCCGGTGCTGCGGAGCTGCCGTCCTGTGCCTGCAGGACGTTCATACCTGCCAGATGCAAGAGGAGTCGTTATTCAGTGTAATCCTCCATGCTCTGCCCCAGATCACTCTTCTTGTTCTTGACCAAGTGTACAATCCCATCCCCAAAATGGTTTCTGTTTCATGCTGTTTAAATAACCAAACCTTTGTCATCTCTTAAAGGCGTAAGTCTTTTTTTTCTTTTTTTGCTAGGCACTGTCATAGAACTGGCCTAACTTTTCACCATTCCAAATGACATTTCCCTTTAATGGTAGAACAATATGTTTTGTTAACGGTTGCACTGAGTATATGCTGTGTTTGGGTGGTGATATCAGACTGTATTATTTAAGAGTGACCTCTCTCCTTTTTCCTTAATGTAGCCTTAGGTTTGTATTTCTTTTATTAGAACAGTTGACCGCTGCACCTCCAAAATCTGATAGTCTGTGTATTTAATAACTTATATTTAAAATCAAGTCTCTTTATTTCTAAACAGGGCTGGTTTAGTCCTGGCCAGGTCTTTGTGCTAGATGAGTATTGTGCACGTAATGGAGTGAGAGGCTGTCACAGACATCTCTGCTACCTCAGAGATTTGCTAGAGCGCGCAGAAAACGGAGCTATGATTGACCCCACCTTACTTCACTACAGCTTTGCCTTTTGTGCATCACATGTTCATGGCAACAGGTAAGGAATTCTTCTTGGCTAGCAGCTCCCTGCCAGCAAGGGATGACTTTGTCAAATTTAGGTTTCCTTGGATAATGCACAACAGTCCCCAATTTGTTTTCACAGTGGATGTTTGGCAGCAGCGCTTCTAGTGGCATAGTCTGTTTGTTTGTTTGTTGCATTGCTTGTTTAATGTAAGCAATAGAAATGCACGTAAGAGAATCCAGAAATGAGGGGGTTTTAACTTTCTTACCCAAGCACCTGCTAGATGCAGTTCTGGACAAGATAGAGTTGAAGCACATGTGGCTGTCACGGGTTGGATAAATAGAAGTAAATGATACACTGTGCTGATTTAATTGCCGTGCAAGAGGATCTGACAAGTTGCCGCAGTGAAATTTTCAGCAGTATCAAACTTCAGTGTTCAGAAGGGCTTTAAGCCCTCGGGCACCCATGTCTCATTTGAAGTCTGCGTGACGTCAGTTTGGAAATTGCTTAGACATAACTGAAAATTTTATCTTGCTGCTGTTGGAAAGAAATTTTCGTTTCAGAAGCAGCCCATTCCCTTCTCTCAAATGTGGCAAACCTTTGATGGGAGGAACTGGAACTGTGCTCTTTCCTTCTCTCTTTATTTTGTTGACAGCTGTAGCATCTACTGCCGCTTCTTTTTCTGCTTTTTTCTGTTAAGTTGCATTGTATGAGATATTACTCTCTGTCCTGCATATGCTTCTGAAGGAAGAAATGTTATAAAATAATAATGTGTTTTCATAAACCCTCTAGTAAATATCATCCTGAATTATGACACGCATTGCCCAGGTTTCACGTTGCGAGGCTGCCGCTTGCTTTTGCAGTTACTTTCATACATCTTGTCATGGAAACTGAGTTTTTGCTTCCTTAGTTTCTTTTTTAGTTCTGACTTTCTTTTGCTCGTTCGCTCCTTCTTTGCCAATGGTTATTTGATTTCCATTGTTTCCTTTCAGTTTAGTTTCCTTGTGTTTTATTTTGAGTTTTTTCATGCTTTCTTCTTGTTTCTTTCACTTTTGCTGCTGGCCTTGCTCCCCCCCCTCAACGTTTCAATCACTCCCCAAAGCCAACACATGGCAGAATTACTTGGTGGGTCACAGCCAAGTGCAGAAGGCGAGGGGGGCAAAGCGACTCATGCCCCTGCCGCTGAAGCGGAGACAAAAAAGGATTCCAAAAAGGAGTCCAAAAAAAAGAAAGATTCCAAACCCCAGCCGAATCCAGAGCCAAAAAGGTAAGCGAAAGCGCGCAGTGCACAGAAGTGTCTTGTAGAGGGCTCCGGGCTCCTCGGTCACTGAGCACCCTGGGCAGTTTGTGTCCCTGCGGCACAGGGAGAACTGCTGCACCAGCATTCGGGTCCGACGCTCTCCTGGGAGCTGGATGGCATTTGGGCACCCGGGTCTCGTAGAGGGTCAGGGCATTGAGATTTTTAGGCGTATGTTTAGGAGACAGCTGACACGTTGTGCAGGAGATGGGGCCATGCGGGTGAAACGGGCTGCCCCCGTTGGCCTTCTTCCGTAGGCAAGGCTCGTCCTGGCAGGAGGCTGTTTTGGGGGCAGGACCTGGTTCAAAGCCTGTTCGGCCAAGAACAGAGACGAGGTCAAATGCCAGTCATGGCTGCCCCATGTACATCTTCACAGGGTCCAGCATAGCTGGAGCTGGAGCCTCCTTTTCATCACAGTTGGTGGCAGAAGTTACCGTACAGTACTGGCCAAGGCAACTGTGCCCTCCCGTTGGGGCTGGAGAGTTGTGGGCTCAGGAAAATGGCTTGCTTTGAAACCCGTGTGATGTGTAGAGCCACCAGTCCCAGGCCTGTTCAGCTCCTCAGGGCTGCGTGTGGCCACTACGCCATGCTGAGCACTGCCGGAGGGGCAGCGTGGCCGGTGATGAGACATTTTGCTATGACTTCACTATCTTTGGGTGGTGCTTGTCTTCGCATCAGGAAGCTGAAGGTTCACTGCCATCCCTCTGTGGTTGATGGGAAGCTCTGTGCTCGGCATTGCACATCCTCACCAAGGGCTGTGTAACGTGTAATGCCCGGGAGTTCAGTGCAGAGACTGCGGTGTGCAGTTTGTGACTTCTGCTACTGGGAGGTCACATAAAGGAGCCGCAGCCGTCTGAGGGAAAACACAATTTTTTTTTCGTGTCTACTATCAGAGATCTGAAAATCTGAGCGGAAGAGTCATGATATCTTTTCAGAAAGCTGTTTCAGGGCAAACACACATCATGCATTTGCGAGCTGGCTGGCAGAGAGCGGCAGAAAGACGATATTTACCCGTGCGGTCCTTACGGGCAATTGTGAAGTGTGTAAAGCTGGGTTCGCTTTAGCTACATCGTTTCCTCCCGCCCTGTGTCCATACGTTGCTAGTTGCCCTAGAGCTGGCCATGGTCTCCCCAGGAACCCTACAGCTCACGAGGGAGCTGAAAACTTCCCATGTAAAATTTGCTGTGGCGAGAGCGTGCCTGTCCCGGCACAGCGTCCGCTGGAGCATCGTGTAGCGGCTGTGCATTGCGTTGTTATTGCTGTGAACAGCGGTCTGGGGAGGATTCAAGTTACAAGATGTTTTCCTGTTTAACAAAGGCTTCTTCTTCTATCGAAACTGAGAAAGTGTTCATTTTCTTTACAAAAGGAAGTTCCTTCACTTTTAGACAGGGGGAAAAAAATAAATAAACCCCCCGAACGGGCGGTTTAGCTTTCCCCAGAATGAGGTTGGCTGTCAGTCAGAATATGCCACCCAGTAATGAAGGTCGAGCAGGGAGATAATTTCATGTGGCTATCAATCTCCTGTATTAGCGGCAGACAGTGATGGAGCTGAGGTGGGCTGTCTGTTTGTATCGTGTTTGCGTAAGGTCAGGCAGCGAGACAACAGTCGCTCGCAGTCAGCGGGGAAGTGCAGGCGGGCTGTGGTGCGGATGCTGAGGACAGCCTGAAGGTCAAGGCTGACAGGATGACAGGCGTCAGCGCGGGGACGATGCCTCCTCGCCTGGTCAAATGCCCCCACCGCATCAGCCGTGACGGGAGCAGGACGGCTGCTGCTGGAAACGCACCTCCAGCTTCTTGGAGCTGACCCTGCGGCTGTGGCAGGTGAAATGGTCAAAACGGGATTTGCGGGGGGATGGTTTGGAGCCCTGTTGCTTTATATGTCAGGGTTTGGTCTCCCCCCTCCTTTGGGCTCATGTAGCTTATTCAGGCCTGACATAATCTCTCCAAACTAAGGCTGTAAATCGCTGCTATTTGCATGACAGTCCCCTTAATTTGTCTGAGTTCATCCTTTTCCAAGTAAAAACGGAGTTAAACCGCAAATTCCTTGTCCTAAGTTTCACCTCCCGCAGACACCTGAATATGTAGCATTCGGCTGTCAGGAAGGCAGGGACCAGCCAAAGATTGCTGAATATCTGCATGGTTTTCTGCTACCCTCTTCACTAAGAGTGAGGAACTCAAGGCTTTCTCACTGCTGTGGTCGATAGTAAGTTGCCAACAGGGTTTTTCCCCAAAAGTATCACCGGATGCCCTTTGTAAAGTCCTTCCATTATGAAAGCCGTTGGGATTTCCAATGTATTTACCTACGTGACAGGTAAGAAAGGCATAGCCTTACTCGGGCATCTGCCAACGCACACTGGGCGTTCATTGATGTCTGTTTGCGTTTGGTGCCACCACCACAGCGCCGAGGCTGTCGCTTTCCTTTATCGATAGTCCTCCAAAAACAGCGAAGGCAACAGGAATAGCTTTAAGAGGAGGTCGTGATTTGGGGTAAAATTCTGAAAGGTTTTTCATGATCGTCCAGGTCTTTCCCTGCCCTCTGTTTCCACGTTTGTTGCCGTCCTCCCGTCGGAGGGCTGTGACAGTACTGCCGGCGTGGTTTGACACACAGCGAGGTGATGTGTCGGAGGAGCCTCGCCGCGTCCCTGTCTGTGCACCGGAGAGGTGTCATGGAGCAGGAGGTTGAGCTCAGCTTTCCCAGGCCCAGCGTTAGCACAGAAACCTTGAGCACAGGTTCCTGCACCTTTTTTTGTAGGAGTGGCTTTTAGGAGTGACCTTGGTTTTGCACATGCCTTTTTTTGGATTTAGACTTAAAATCGAAAAATTTTTGGATTTAGATATAGTAACTTTATCTTTAAACTTTTAAAAAAAAGAGTCTTCCTGTGCTTGTTAATCCAAAGTTTTGAAAATAAGACTAAAATATTGATTGAGCACATACTATCTATTAGCAGTCATTGAGCTTATCAAACTCAGGGTGCCAGACTGAATCCCCTTCCCTCTTAATAGCAATTGAACAGCCTCATTCTCTGCGAGTTGTTAGATGACTGTTTACTCAAGGTCCAAGCAGTTACAAGTCTCGTGCTTAATTCATTTGGTGTATTAGTAACTTGCCCTTTTCTCTATAAGCTGTATTTTACAGCATCAGACTTGTTTTCAAGAAGTGGCTCTTTGATTAGCTCACATTATCATGAGCTTCCATTAGTTTTTTACAACTGTAAGCCAGCAGAAATGATGTTACTGTTATAAGATTTTGAGGAACGGAAAAGCCTGTGTAATGTATTTGTTTCCATTGTATTCTAATATATATCTGTCTGCTTCACATAAAGGCAAGATTTCCATCCAGTTAGTTAAAAAAAAAAGCAAAACAGGACATTTTTGGACCCTTAAAAGAAGTAGCAAATATGTGAACACTTCGTCCAAGTATCTTCATATGCTTCCCTAGGACTTTGTGTTCAGTTTCCACCTCTCTCATTCATTCAGACGAATCACCCTGACTGCAGCGAGGCAGGTTAAAATCTGGCGGGATGTCACGCCGTAACCTTTCGTCAGGTGCTGGCCCTGCGTCCCAACTGGCCCCTCGCTAACTCCGCGGTGACCCAGCGTGCGTGACGCCCGTCTGTCGGGTTGGATCCGGCGCCTGTGCCAGCCACGAGCAGACAGCGGGCTCCGTGCGGCCGGCTGACGTGATTCATTGCAATGGGTGTGGGATGGCAGCGCTCAGAAACCATCCGGTTGAGCCCGC